GACGCTCCGATTGTACGAGGGCGATGGAAAGAAAAGGAGAGAGTGAGAGAGACTGGCGGGGATGGTGGTGAGGGGGTGGGGCGGGGGCGCGGCGCTTTTGTTTAAAAGCGCGCACCTCCCGCGCCACCCGTCAACATGGAGGCCGCTAACACGCCGCCACGAATAATTCACACAACAAAGGCTCCTGCGGGCCTGTTTCATTTCCGCGCATTGTACGCTCGTTCTTCCGCACTTTGTCAATTCACGTTATAATCATCCCACCGCACGGCGCTCTAGTCGAAGCAATTAGTCGCCCCCACCTCCCTGCGAATTCCCTCACTCCCACATGCCCCTGGCTTCTCCGAACCAGCCCTGCGTTTCCCTGAACGGGGTAACACGACTTAATCTTCCCACTTCCACGCCCCGGAAAAATTCTAACTACCCGCGGTCTTCCGGTTTTTCGTTGTCGCTTTATGGCTCTCACACATCCTCCCTTCCCTGGACAAGGATTCCACAAGGGAGGTCGAAAAGGGTATACCGTCCTCCTGACAGACATTCTACAAGATGATCTAGCCGTTTTGCCTCATATTTAGTATTGAACAAATTACTTTAAATGTTACTAATAGTTTGTACGCGTGTGTGGCTCATTGCTGCAGCACATGGAAAAATTATATTGAAGTGTTCACATGATAAGTATTATATCTCTGGAATATGATACGTCCTGCAAGTTGGATTTTCATACGTTTGATCAACGCTCCAAACACTCATAAATAACATCGGGTTTGCGTTCTTCAAAATACAAGCAACATGCAATAAGCCATCAATCCCTTTAAGTCCTTGTCCTCTCCTGCCTGTTTATACGTCCCCTGGGGATCTCCCTACACCTGGCAAGCCCTCACACAGCCCTGTCGCTACGCCCGTCCACCGGGGGCACCACGTTGTCCAGCGCCGCCATTCAAACGTCGCCGCTGTGTGTTTGTGCTTCACACACGCACGCCCCAGAGGCTGACGGAGCTTGCCGACCTCTGTTCCCACATCACGTTTTGCTGAGGAGACTCGTCGTGCAAGACGTAAAATCGTGAATTCGTCACGCCGTTGTTCGTTTACACTGAAGATTGCTTCTGACGCGGATGCAAAAGAGGGTTCTTACCCCGACCCGCATGCCTCTGTGAATAGAATTCATTATATTTAATTGTTTCTCTGAAACAGAGGTTAGTTTTTGTCAGTAGATGAGTAAGAACAGTTGGGTGGCTTTGTGTGGCGATATTACGTTCTACATGAGTGACATACTAAGTTTCGCAGGCAATCTGGCAGTGTAGTAAGTCTGCCTTCTAATGTTCTGTGTACCGACTTCCCGAATTACGACGGAAGCAGTAATGGTAGGTAGTTACGAGTGCAACTGACGTGTATAGGGGAGAGCGCGTTCATCTGTGGTGGAGGGGCAGAGAAGTGAAAATCATTCTCCCCTTTAATACTGCGAGACGTCTCGCTCATACAAAGGGTTCTCAAATGATCGCAAAAGAGTCCATTTCCCAAATAAATTACGATGAAATTAAATGTTGAAGAAGTTAAAAGAAACTATCATTGGTAAACATTTAGGAACATTGTGCTATAGGGTTATATCAATTCAAACTTCCTAATATAAATGTGATCACGTTCGGCGAAAATTACACACTAAGATTTTATTTGTATCGCTCCGCTTTTTAATTTTCAAATCCAATTATATTTTGAAAATATTGTACAAACCACCTTGCACTAGCCAATGTTTTAATGGACTATAGTATGAATGGAATTTAAAGTATTCAAAGAAACGGACAAGCGGCAAACCTAAAACTCCAGCTTTGACGACTCTATTACTAACAAACGGCAAACTTACATGTTGATACACATTGCATAACAAGTTTTAGTTTTACAAACACATAAATATAATAAATTGACGTTTATTAAGTTGCAATAAATTTCAATAGATATCTTTAGTCTCGATGGTCAGCCATCACGTGATAGCCCTTTCATCGGTTGACGCAACTGCACGCCGCACTCCGCGAGTCACAGCAATATTTGTCTGCTGACTGTTCCACCAATACCCATCGATGTCAACACGTCATTAGCCAAACATTGAACTCGACAGCACCTCACAATCACTCGTATGTATTTTGTATTCTGAATTAGCGTTGTCATATCAAGACGTTTGCTATATTTTATATAACTCCACACAGCAACACACGTACTAGTTTTCCATTGTTTGAGACATAGATTACGAAAAAATATGACTAAACAACATACTCGTACTTGAACTCGTATATTTATTTTCTTGTAAAGCCCCAAAAAATAGCCGACTTTTTTGTAATAGTAAAGTACAATGAAAACGCAACTTCTATTTTATCAGAAAATAAGGATATTTCAAAATAATTATTCCCATAATACTAATGAGAATAAATGCAAACACTGTATGTAAAACTTGGAGTATTTATTCATTACTCTCCTTACAAATTAATAACGTGCACATATTATTAGGGAAGACGATCGTCGTATTTTCGGTCACTGTTTGTTACACCACGATTGAAGTCTTCAATGTACGGGTATACAATAGTAGCAATTATTAAGCAAATAAACGAAATATATTAGGTGCAGTAAATGCATTTCAATGATTATTATAACAAATCCACAAATATTCTAGAGAATATTTTAGCAAGTTAATATAAATATAAATACACAGCGGTGATGAGTTATCTTTGAATCTGTATACTATCCTAAAACATGTCGAAACAGTTTACTATTAGATGGAATATAATAGTACGTTTTAAATAATTTATACACGATATTAAAATACTGTAATATCTACCATTTAAGCATTAGTCAGAGAAACTGCAATATAAAAATTGCCGATCTATTCGTGCGATCCTTCGCATGGCCATTAATTCTTTTATCTCATGCGCCGGAAGTCGCACGAAGGATGCCTGGCGCGAGCAATGCGACGGCTTTCTTCGAATGTCATCCATCGCAACATTCTCGAGAGCAAATCAGACCGGCTGTCCGCATCGTATTCTTCCTTGTCGCGCGCGGCGCTGTTGGTATGTTTACGAGCGCTGTTGAGAGCACCGTTGCATTCGAGTCACGTTCCACCACCGCTAGATTAGGAAATGTAATGAACTACGGATTCCTGTGCGGTGAGATTCAAATACCACGACGATCCTTCGAAATTCTTGGATTTGAACCGAGTTCCTAAGAGAAACGTTCATATTCTCGTAGCTAAAGAATTTTCTCTGACATTCCCACAGCCTTTCGAAACAAACACCTCACCGATTTGTGAGTTCCGTTTCCCACCGTTGGCTTCTCCGCTCCGTCACTTTTCAGTCGGAGTCTCTAATTCCTCTTGTGCTTATCCTGGACAATGCCACTACGATCCCTGCAGGGCTTCCCCCCCCCCGCGTTGCTAGAATAATGGAGTGAGTTCCGTCCGAGCTCCCACCTGTGTAACACCTGCATTACAGACCCTCGTATCCTCTACGGACGTTGGCTATTCACGGAGGAGGGTTACAAAGCTTAATCCGTGATGTTGATACTCACATGTGTACATTCACGTACGCACTGTCACAGGGTTGGCCGACTTCGCTGCTCCGATGCATTTATTAACACGGTGGAGCTGTTAGCCGCACTCCTGCGTCACGAATACTAAGCTGCAGCTGGACGACAAAAAAAGAAGAGTCTCGCAGGCCATTCTGACTTAACGTTGTCGACGTATCAGAAAGATCTTTGCAACCGATGAACGAGTAGAATGACAGGCAAGTATGTGGAGTACTTGCATCCATTGGCTTAGGAGCACTTAAAACTGCAGTATTTCGATTTCTATTTTTGTAAATAAATAATAGTTATGTATAGTAGTAAATATATAGTATAGTAATTTTGTAGCTCTTTAATTCCGTATTATTGCTTTGCTTCAACTACCACCAACACAAACGATCATTTTTAAACATTTACACAAATACCTATTTACGCAATCATGTTTTCATTCAGAATAAACAATGAAATTCTGCACATTTAAAACTTCAATGAACATTTATTTTCGACCCTCGTTCATTACCGAAGTGAATGCTTTTCCTTACAAATCGGAAAGAACGAATACTTTCATACAAAATTTTCGATAAAACAATCCGCCTTATACAATCCGGTTTCCAGGAATATTTCATTTCATGTCTCAAAATTTTCTGAAAATGTGTTATATTTTTGGGAGTATTGTTAAAATAGTTATTGTGAATCGGCAAAACAACTGTTAGGCCAAACGCAAACGGTTTTAAGAACAAACACATTTTTAAAATCGCAAAACGCAGTGAAAATGTAGAGGTAGAAAATAGTGCAATTAAAAGTCAAACTCTACGAGTACTCATCATTCAAAAACGTGAATTAGGTCCAGCTCAAATGTACAGAATTTAAAATGTTTTAGATTATAAAAAAATATCCTGATCAGAGGAGTGACGCGCATTTGAAATCGAAACGGAATATACCAATACATCTAAAGGTAATTGTTTATGAAGACTTGCTGTATTTATTGCAATTTAATATATTATATTTTACAAGCAGGGTACAGTTAATGAACTCTGTTTTTGGTGTTTGACTTTACTTATTGCATTACTCTGTTCTTAAACATGCGAACAAATGTATAATAGCTTAAAAAAATAAATTTCGCGCTTCTAATGGTTTACGAAAATATTTTCTTTAACAATGAGTTTACGACGAACTGAGTGAATTATCAGCAGTCTGCTCTGTCACTTTCATGTTTCCTAACGTCACTGCTATCTCGCCATCACAAACAACAAAATACATCTCCTGTTGCATAAACATTTCCGTCCAAAATGAAAATTATTTTGCCGCAAGGCGACATGGTTTTATAAATACTCGCTTTCAGGGCATTGTTTTAAGGGAACGTTCATCTTCGTGGCTACCCAATTACGCTGAATGTAAATAAAGAGGGGCGATCGGGATGGTTGATAGAGATTGGTGATGGAGAAGGTTGATGGAGAAGGTTAATGGAGACGGGTGATGGAGGCGGGTGATGGGGGCGCGTGATGGAGGCTCGTGATGGAGGCGGGTGATGGAGGCGGATGATGGTGGCGGGTGATGGAGGCGGGTGATGGAGGCGGGTGACGGGGTGAGCAGTGGAAGAGGGTAATAGACGTGGACGATGGTGGGGAACGGAATAGGCAGTGAGGATAGGCGATGGGGCTGGATGATGGGACTGGGCAATGGGGGCGGGTGATGGAGGTGGGCGATGGACTCACCTTGCCGGTGGACAGCACGTAGAGGAAGTCGCCGCGTGGGGAGACGGTAGTGTCGGGCAGCACGGCGCGGCCCGCGTCCACCGTAACCTGCTCGTACTCGTCGGCTTGCGACGCACTTCGCAGCAGCACCTGTAACACACAGAACGGAGGTAGGGGTTAGCGAGGAAGGCGACACATCTTGACATAACACAGAATAGACAGGAGAGTAGACCCCTTATTAAAAACAGTTTTCTTCAGGAACTATAATAATAGCAACACTTTACACTTGACTTCACAATTATACAACTCTGAAGAAAAAAACACACGGAGTTGATATGCAAAATATATAAAATTTGGCCAATTATTTTAATGTCTTAAGCTGGCCACATTCGTTTTTAAATGGAATTTGCATCGGATTTATACTATGCTGGTTTTATATGTCCTATTACTGCAACATGTTCGGTTAGTAATGAATCCACATCTGTAGGACTCAATATAAATGCCAAAATATATGTTTTCATCATTTATACAAGTTACGAATAAATTTAATGGCCCCGAAACAAAAAAAAAAACTTTTATAGAATATGTTAAAAATTTGAAATGAGGAAAAATACTGCCTAAATGATTTAGAGCATTACCACGATATTTACAAATACACATGTATACTGTTCAAATGATACTATTCTTACATTGTTGGACTTTAATTCACAAGTCCTTTAATGGACACAACACCGAGAAGAATTTCATAGAAAAATCATTCAAAAAAATTCAAGCATAATTCAAGCGCTTGTAGTTCCACTTGAACCTGTTATAATAGTCCAAAGCTATTCACCAAATAAGCATTAGTTATTTTTATTACTTATGCATATTTATCATTTCATTTATTACATAACGGAGATCTCATGAACTCAAAGGAGTTAAGGCATGGCATCCGCAAGTCTCCAAACGCTACGTTCGTAGAAGTGAAAAAGGCTGTAATTCAGGTGTCAGTGAATCCATTTGTCCGTTGAGAATGTCCGCGGCGTCCATAGAGAGGACGCTGACCTATGACGCGCCTCGCACCTCTGCCCTGGACCCCCTCTTCTCTGCCCGCCCTCCCCCGGGGGGAATGGAACGCGCCTCGCGATATCGGCCGTCAGAAGAGACAGTAAGAAATATGACAACTTCTCGCCCGGATGGCCGAACGAAATGCTACTCATCTCTTACTCGTTTTAGACCAGAGGGGCTAAACTAATTAAAAGGGATTACAGGTGGGCGAGCTTCCGCTCGTATTGTTTTTATCCCCTTGAAAAATGTACTTTTTGTGAGCAGATTCGTTAGATATTAACTCCTTGATGGCCTGTCTCACCTAAGCCTACACGCTGCAACATATATCATACTTATCCAAGCGTGATCCTATCAGGAAGAATAAATAGTTCTTCCCCGCCTTAGATACCATTTGAACTGGCTGCACATAGTAACACGCTCATGATCATTCGAACAAAAGGACGAACAAAACGAATTCACGCTTTGTCGACGAATGCAATATTGTACGCAGTATTATATGACAATTCCTACACGTCTCTGCTGCAAATGATAATTATAGCGGTGAATGATTTCATGTCTGTAGACAGGGCTGTCCAAAGGAACGATGACCAGAGCAGTTGAAAGCCGTGCGTTGTTCTGCATTAAACAACTGCAACAGAACAATGCGGCACTCGAAACACAGAGGCGCAGAAGAGAAAAATCGACTATGAAGAGACCCCGCCGCCGACCGCAAGGCAGAAAAAATGTGCAGGCTACAGTAAGCGTTTGGAGAACGCAATAAGTCCGCTGATGATTTACCTTCGTAATAAATGCAATTAAATATGAATTGTAACGTAAATGGATTCTCAGTTAAATTCATTTTCGTGCTGTTGTTTCACCTTCTTTTCTGCGTAAATTAAGAGTCATTCACATCGGAATATAGACTCAACGAAGATCCCGAGAGTTGGAAACAGATCCCGAGCATTTTCCCTCTGCTTTCAAAAACAGATACAAAGACGAGTGCATTGCGAGGGAATATGAACGTTTTAAGCACACAAAGAGACTAAAATTAAAACAAGAAAACACGTTCAAAAACCAAAATTCAAAATAAAGTTTACCTTCCAATTGTTACGAAATGCACTTCAAAAGACAAGTATGTATTGTAATATGGAAACAGAACCAAACATTCTAACTCACTTAATATATATATTAATAATATATATATATATATATATATATATATATATATATATATTTTACATTTTCCCACAGTCAATATGATCATTATGATTCTAAAACAAATATTATAATAAAACGTGATAAATAGAAGTATTTTTTTGCAATTTTGTATATCATAAATATTAATCTCATGAAATTTTTGTTTAAGCGAAAGAGTTTCCGCCTTTATTAAACACATGACTCATTCGAAAATCACTTCATTCTCGCTATTCCCCGACTGATCTTTCCATTTCTATGGTTGACATCTATCTCTCAAAGAATGAACATTTTCCAATTCTATTACACCTTACTTCATCGAATACAAATTAAACATAGCGCACAGTATTAAACACACAGAGAGCACGTTCAATTTCATTAGGCTTCACTCGCCATCTGGAGCTCACCACATGACTACAATCAATCGTAATTTGTTTTCATTCACTTTCAGTTATACAGATTTAGTCCGTTTGCTACCCATCAGTGCTTCTCAACATCCGTTGCAGGCGCTCCGCCCACTGCAATCTTTCTTTATTCATTGATTATTGCGTGGTCATTGTTCATCATTTCTGACTGCGAATCTCGACCCTACATTACAGTAATTTCAACACATACCACGCCCCCGTGCACTCTCCACAGTAGTATTATTCACGTTCAAATCATCACCAAAAATACTAGTGTCTTCTCACTGTCTAGGTACTTGCTTCAAATCAAATATGTGTTTTCTTATTGTCGAGCCATGCAATTCATTCCCCATCTACCCTGTCTCCTTAAACGAATCTGTCATTATGTTTACTATCATTCCACACTCAACTCCATCATCAGTCGTGTTCCGTTCTCAGAACTGTTCGCGATCTCATCGTCCGCGTCATCGTTAATCGCCGTTCCCGCCTCGTCCTC